CGTTTCGTGGCGCGGGGAACGCGCGGCGCGGGCGGCGCGCAGGCCGCTTTGTAGCGCGGGGAAACGGCAGCGTATATTTTAATATATGCCGATTTCTATAATTCTTCTTTTGGCGCTAAGCGCCGTGTTTTTGGCCGGGACGGACCGTCGGTCCCGGCCGTAACGATTTGCATCGTTACATGTTCGTGGTGTGCGATCCATTTATGTTTCCAATGTTTTTATGTTAATTTCCATCCACAACATTGCGCAGCAATGTCCGAATTTTATAATAAATAAAAACACGATGAATAAACATAAACAAGCACAGAAATCCCCACGATCTTATTTATTATACATAATTAATTAATTGCGTCGTTATTATTAATATTTTACTCCATAAAATAATAATAATTAATTCAGTTGATAGATATAGTCGTTATAATGAAAAAAAAAGTTGGCACTGCGAGGTTTCAAACTCGCAACGGACGCCAAAAATCACAAAGCGCGCGCTTTACGCCGCAGCTACAACGCTTCACGCTAAGTCTAACTTATTTATGTTACTTAACGTACAGCTGGCCGCACCCTTAACTTTGCATGCAAAATTCTCGGAAATTAAGGCCCATGCACTCAAACCCTCTTACACTTTTTATACCCTCGACCTCCTTTCGAATGAACTATGGCTCATTCAATTTCGTATTTCGCAATTCGTGCCCACTGCTTGTCAGTGTATATTATCACATATATATCCGTGGCACATAGTTTGCTCGCTAAAACTACTGTATGTCTCAAACTGGAATAAAACAGCTAGCTGAATAAAAAATATAAGAACTAAGTGTTTGTAATTTACTCTATTCCATTCCTTACTATTCTTCTACAGTTACTATATTCTTCTACAATTATATCGCAAAATAACTACTAAATCTTTTACAAACCTTATCTAGTAGTAATCATTTTACGCAATAAATGATTGCCCTATTTATCACGCTGACGAATTAACTAAACTGACTGATAGTTTTATTAAAAATAAAAAGCTGAAATTACAATAGAATACTAATGTAACATAAAAACAATGTAGTTGCGCATAAATTACTATTTATTTATTTTTCGATCTATAAGACATAAAACTCGACACGGCGCAAATACCGAAGTTACATTATATTGAATGTAACGTATATTATTTTTATATAAAAAAATCTAAATTGAATATATCTTGTATGTGTCGAACTGCAGGATTTTAATGTTTTTTTAAAATTATTCTAAAAGAAATTTTTTATAATAAGAGCGATTGAAACAGACGTTGCAGATATGTCAGTCAATCGATTTCGAGTAACAGGAAGAAAGTTAAGACTTCCCAACTTAATTGATAATTTTCAGGAAAAAATATACCTGGAGAACCATGATGCTGACCACGGTGCCAGCGACAGGTACGAGGTTTAATTCTAGCCACTCCTCGCCAGCTCTTAGGCAACCACGCTCGAATATACTCCTCTCTCCTGTCTGCGTTGATCAGAAGAGATAAATAAAAATGATTATAATATTGAATATGAATCGACTCCACGCGATGTAAAAATCAATAATAAGTTGAGTTAAGTGGTCAAGGAATCCATGGACTCAGTTGTTGTGTGTTATTGAAAAAATTTCCTAAAATTTGAACGAGAAAAACTAATATATTTAGATAAATTACACAGACGTTTCGACCGTGGATTTCGGTCTTTATCAATGTTCTACAATATAAAATAAAATAAAATAAAATAAAATAATAGTGGCTAGATCGAGATAATAACACACACACACGGAAATGTGAAATAACTTACAAAAATAGTCAGGTAACACCAACACTGTGGCACGCTCGAAGTCAACGGTGTGGCAGTTGACAAGACAGTGCGACAAATTTGGCTGTCAGTTTAAAACTCACAAATAATGTGGAGAGAGTAAGAAGTCATGTGGTAGTTCCTTCTTATTCTTCAAACAATGTTAAGTAAGTCTTATCTAGGGAGTCGACATCATTCTGTAAATCTAAGCCGGCTGGTTGTTTATTAATGTATAGTGCTTCGAATATTAAACGTTTATAATAAGATGGCTCAATGTCAAGGGTTTCAATGTTATTCCAGTCAAAATCATGTGAGTAATTCAATCTATGGTCAGTAATAACAGATTTTTGGGATATATTTCTATGAAAATGATTTTTATGTGCTCATTGATCCTGATTCTGAGGTTTGTTTGGCCTACGTATGAGGCTTTGCAATCTTTACATTTTATGCAATAAACAATATTAAGGTAAGAGAGATGAGGAAGGGGATCTTTATGTCCTTTGATAAAACGTGATAAATTATGGGAACTAGAGAAAGCCAATTTTGAAGTGTTATCCAGGAGAAAAATGTTCGCTAAGTGCTCAGAGAATCGTTTAATATAAGAAACCATTTATTTACGTTAATATTTGGACTGTCAAAGATATGTTGCTTACAATTCTTATTTTTATAAAAACTATTTTTTTAAGTCTCTGTCTCAAGATATTGAAAATAAAGTCAAGAGGTTAATTGTTATTAGTTAATATTGTAAAAAATTGTTCAAGATTTTGTTTATAAAAAATAGGGTTCAAGAGGAAAAATGCTCTGTCTATTAAACCTACTACAATGGCTTTCTTTTGGCTAGAAGGGTGATGAGAGCGGTAATTTAGACAACGACCCGAGGAAGTAGGTTTTTGAAACTAGTTATGAATCAATGAGCCATTCTCACACAGAACAAAAACTCCATTAGACGTCGACATAGCTCCATGCGACATCTAATGGATGTCTGGATGAGTGGATATCTGTGTGGGTTGTTTATGATAATAGTAAGATCAAGAAAGTTGAGTTTGTCATTAGAGCTGGACTCAAGCGTGAACTGTAATCGTAGGTGATAGGAATTAAAGGTATCAAGGACCGCATTGAATCTATTCACTGGAATCTATTCACCATCGCAACATCATCTTACATAAAGAATCAACGTATCTTACATAAAGAAGTGGATCAAAATCAAGCCTGCTGAGAGCATAATTCTCTAAATCTTGTAGAGTGATATCAGCTAGAATAAGGAAAAGAAGGGAGCCCATGGATGCACCAAAGATCTGTTTATAAATTTTATTGTTAAACAAGAAGTAAGTACTATCAAAAACCATTTTCAACGCTAATAAGAATTCATTATATGTAATATTCGTGTTATTTTCAATTAAAGCCCATCTATTACTAACACTTTTTTAATGCGAGGTCGACAGAAATGTTGGTGAAGAGGAAAATTACGTCCAAAGAAATTAGGTCAAAACTTTCATCAAAAGAAATATTAGAAATAATCTTGGACAAATGAAAACTATTATCAATGTTACTAGGTGGAGGAATTAAGCTACTGTGAATAATTTTATGAAGTAATAGTGCGAATTTATGCAAAGGGCTATTTATTGAAGAAATAAGAATTCTGAGAAAATTGTTAATTTTATGGATATTTGGCAAACCATAAGCTCTTGGTAAGACAGCTAACGTGCTATTAAGATAGTTAAATGTATTATCCGTGATATATCCGTGTAACTTCCATCTTTTGAGCAATTCTTTGAGATTGTTTGAAATTTTATTGATGGGGTTGTGTTGGATTAAAAAGTAAGTACTCTGATCAGACAAGAGAACTTCCATATCACGGACATAGATCTCTTTATCAAGGGCAATCACAGAGTTACCCTTATCGGCTCTCGTAAAGGTGACATTAGGATTATCACGCATAAATCGCTTAATTTTTGTGAGAGCATTCAAAATTTCTTTGTCTTAAATGGACAGTGAGGTAGTAGAATTTTTGAGTTTTTCCAATGCAAGTACAGATCTGCTCCTAACTTCCAAGTTTTCCTTTTTATTAAGATGTCTAATATTAATCTTCAATGTGTTTGACAAAATCAATGATGGTTGTGTCGTCAATCTTAAAAAATCATATCCATAGAAATACATCCAAAAAATCTGTTCTTTTTCTTCTTCGCTTAGATGGCTCTTTACCCCTTCACGAGAGGAGTATACGCCAGTCTGGTTATATATAAATTTTTATACTTTTTCATGGGGGGGGTTGTGCAGTACACTACTACCACGCGATACACGGCCTTCTTTCACAGTGGACGTGCCCATCTGTGTCGGGCTCGTGTTCAAGATGTTGTGACTGCGATCGCCTTGTGGGAGGTAGATTAATTCGAGATTACACTTGAATTAATTTTTGGAGTCTCGATTTAGTTCACCGATCAATCGATAAACTCGATTGAAAGGGACCGGCCCGGAAACAATCCTTAGATGGTGAGCGGATTCGAACTCGAGACCTCCGGGTTTGCAGCCCTTGCACTCAGGCCGCGAGACCACTAGGCCGGTCTATCCGATCAAAAATCTGTTATTACTGACCATAGATTGAATTACTCACATGATTTTGACTGGAATAACATTGAAACCCTTGACATTGAGCCATCTTATTATAAACGTTTAATATTCGAAGCACTATACATTAATAAACAACCAGCCGGCTTAGATTTACAGAATGATGTCGACTCCCTAGATAAGACTTACTTAACATTGTTTGAAGAATAAGAAGGAACTACCATATGACTTCTTACTCTCTCCACATTATTTGTGAGTTTTAAACTGGCAGCCAAATTTGTCGCACTGTCTTGTCAACTGCCACACCGTTGACTTCGAGCGTGCCACAGTGTTGGTGTTACCTGACTATTTTTGTAAGTTATTTCACATTTCCGTGTGTGTGTGTTATTATCTCGATCTAGCCACTATTATTTTATTTTATTTTATTTTATTTTATATTGTAGAACATTGATAAAGACCGAAATCCACGGTCGAAACGTCTGTGTAATTTATCTAAATATATTAGTTTTTCTCGTTCAAATTTTAGGAAATTTTTTCAATAACACACAACAACTGTGTCCATGGACTCCTTGACCACTTAACTCAACTTATTATTAAATAAAAATGATTTAAAACACCGGTGCGCGTACATACACATACCCACGCAAACAAAAAGTTATCTGAGTATAACAATTCCCTAATTTGTAAACGTTTTAACATACGATAAATATATTTCTTACTTCAAATTTAATCCTAAGTGCATATATTTAAACACGGTATATACACGCATTCGACATTAATACATGTATTATCGACGATATTTAATGATGACTCGGAAAAAGTTCTTTTTCAGCAATATTTACTTATTTGCGTTAGACCAGGTTGTAATATGTCATGGTTTATTTAATGAATGCGCGTTCCGACAAAAAATATAATTAAGTGATGAAAGCGTTATTAGCGAGACGGCGAGGCTCTGTCATTACACAGCAGAAATGATATATCTACTCTCAAAATAGAAGCTGGCACAAAAGTTCTTATCTCTCTTTTATCTTTGCTTCTCCTTTCCACCTTCTCTTCGTCCACTATTTTCTCTCTAATTAAGTTCCATGGTTTCTTGACCTGGATCTGCTTGTAGACATTGTGTAATCGCCCGCGCGAACGCGTGGTCCGTGCAAATCTACCTCCAAAGAACGGTGCGCTTTTCGAATCAAGTTCTGCGCGATCTCGAAGACAAATTATTCGATACTTTCGAAGCGCTAGATCTATTGTATTTTTCCAACGATGATGCGAGATGATGTGAGTTTTGACTCAAAAATAACGAAAAAACGGAATACTATGGACACTACTTGAATATAGATAAATGTAAAGTATGGAACTTTATAATGTTGATAAAATAAATGTGAGGATTTATGATAAAAGAACTTAGAGAAAGTGAAGAACTTAAAAAGTAAGTAAAATTGAAAATATTAAATAAAAACAAGTTTTTCAAAAAAAGTAATTAAAAGTATTTTATCTAAATATGAGGTTTTTTTAATCGTTTTTCACTAAACGGTAAAAGCAAAAATAAGATAATTTACTTACGTAACTAGGCTTTCTAACATCATAGCCGCATTGTTTATTCTTAATGATTTCCTGAAAAAAATAAAAGGCTCGCTTAACCTTTGATGTAATTGATATAGTCGACGGAAAATAATTTTAAAAAAGTCACAACTGTACTAATGTGGACAGTTACATTAAGTTTTCGCTTGCAACAACTAAAAGGCACGCCACACGCTTCCCTCGAGCCGATGTCGCTCGATGAACAATTGAAATAATTATTGCGATCCCAATCCTTCGGACCTTCAATCCCGCAACATTGTAACTGTAAAAAAAGATATATTTTATATTTTTTATAACACATTGAAACAATATACATTTATAATGCGTATTTTAACATAAACAATACACATAATATAATGCATATTTTTTAAGTTTTTGAGCTTCATAAATTCTTCTTAGGCCAATTAAGTACGTTCAAATGATACTACTAATAATTTCTCACCGGAGTAAAAATAGAAAATTTATAAAGAGAATATCACGAATTTAATTAGTAAAAACAAAAGAATTGCATGCGAGAGAGTCTCTTTTGTCGCTTTGCTACAATTTAATTAATCAGATAATTCGATATCATTAAGAAATGGCGATT